AAGTATAAAGTCACACTTCTAATTCCTCAGTGTATCATTGATGTTTCTAACAAAAAATTCCTATGATCATTCCTTTTCTTGTGAATTTCATGTTATTTTACAAAAAAAAATTTAGTTTTTCTTCAATCTCTAAGAAAGATGAAGGTGATATTATGCATGAAACAAGTCTTGTGGAAACACATTTTGACTTCATTACGTTTACTGGGGATGGAGAGATCAAGAAAGGAAAGAGAAATGAACCGCAGGGACTCCAGAGGGAGCCCCTGCATCTTCAGGTTGCCATCCTTCATGCCCGTCAACTGTTTGCAGATGCAATGATGATGCCACTGTTTGACCTATTGTTCCATTTTTTGCTTACAATAGTATTTGCCCATTTTTTGCAGCCTTGTCTTTCTTGACTTCTCTGTGGCCCATGGAACAGTTACCTCCCCTCCTGACAGCTCCATTCTCTTGGAGCTTCTGGAACCCCATTGTCATCAGGCTTCCATTCTGCATTCTTATCTTCTCACTTCTAAACTTTCTGGGTGATCTAAACCACATCTATTGCTTCAACTATAATCTTTGCACTAGTAACTCCTGAAATCTAAACCTCCCTGGATTTCTGTGAGCACCAAATCCTTATTTTTAATTTCCTTAAAAACACTTTCACCTGGAAAAGTAGAGTCAGTATAGCCAAAATTCAAGTCACCATCTCTGCCCACCTCTTACCTTCCAATGGTCCACTTTCCCCCGAGCAGCACCTGGTGGCTGAAGCCCGGCAACCTCTACTGCTCCCGTCCCCAAGCGGTTGGTCATCTGGTCATCTCAATTGCATCACTCACACCATCTCTTCTGAGCCCGTCCCTTGTTCTAATCAGCACCTTATTTTAAGCCCTCCTCCTTTCTCCCCCAGATTTCTGTGTGGGCTTCCTAACTGGCGTCTCAGCCTTCCCAAGTCAGCCTCCCCACTGCTGTCACTGTCTTGAGTCATCATGCCCTTTTCTAAAATCATTTGGTTAAAATCCCAGCTTATTATGGCATTTGATGACCTTTGTGTGTGATGCCCGCTTGCTGTTCCTGTCTTACCACCCTCTAAGTGACCACATGTGCTCCAAAACACCAGAAGACGTGCCTCCTGTGCTCGCATGCCAACCTGTCTTTGCCTACATGTGTTCCTTCTATCAGAAACTCCCTTTTCTCTTATTTGCTCAGACCACTCCTATTCACTTTTCAAGACCCCAGCTTGAATGTCACTTTCTCCAGGAAGCCTTTCCTGACTTCACCTATCTCCCTCCTTGATTGTTCCCCAGACCACCAGTGGTCCCTCTGAGCTTGGCTTCCACACATCCTGAGATTTTTGTCTGTTTCTGAAATCTGTGTTGTACCGCTAATGACTCTGCCCCCTCAGTTCAGCACTAGGACTGGAACTGCACTGCGCTCATCTCCTCACACCCAGGGCTCAGCACACAGACTCGGCTCAATATATGTTTAGCAGGTGAAGGAACCGATTCATGGCAAAAGGGGTAGAGTCCACCTCACTTGCCTCTGCAGATGTTTTCTTGCGCTAGGCCCTGTACTCTCACTACCCTTTCCTAAGTGCTAATATGTTTGAGTTTTACTGTTAAGGGGATGCCTTCTAGATGGGAAAAATCACTGGCCTCTTTTAACCAGCTGCCCCGTGTCCTCTGCTAATAAATTGTCCATTCAAAGTAGAAACCAAAGTCCTGAAAACAGCCTTCAAGGTCCTGCCAGATTGCCTCATCCCACTGCCGCGATCTTTTTGGTAACATTTCCCACAATCGGGGCTTTACCATGTTACTGCTCCAACCGCAAGGGCCTCCTCACTAATTCTTGAGACATGGGCCTGTTCCCGCCTCAGGGCTTTTGCAATTACCCAAAATGTTAAAATGCTCTTCCTCCAAATAGCTGTACTTTCAGGTCCTTGCCCAAGTGTCATCTTCTCAGTGATGCCTTCTCTAACCACCTGGTACCTCAAACCTCCTATATTCCGGCTTCCCCACTTTGTTTTTTCTCCACAGTGTTTATCATCCGGCACAATATATATTTTAATTCCCCCAACCCCTGCATGAATGTAAGCTCCCTGTGGGCAGGGAAGTGGCCTGTTTTATTCCCTGACAAATCCTTAGTATCTAGTTTCTGGTACACAACCAGTGCTCAGCAATTGATCTCCCACACTAGGTTATGGTTTTCAAGTTCTTAAAAAGCAGCACAAACAACAACAATAAAACAGACAACTCAATTTAAAAATGAGCAAAGGACTTGAATAGATATTTCTCTAAAGAACATACACAAAGGGCCAATAACACATGGAAAAATGCTCAACATCATTAATCATTAGGGAAACGCAAATCAAAACTACAATAAAATACCACTTCACACCCGTTAGATGGCTACTATCAATGCCCCCCACCCAAAAAACCACAACAGAAATCAGCAAGTGTTACCAAGGATGTGGAGAAATTGGAACCCTTCTGCACTGTTGTTAGGAATGTAAAGTGGTTTAGCCACTGTGAAACCAGTGTGGCAGTTCCTCAAAAAATTAAATGAATTACCATGTGACCCAGCAATTCCACTTGTAGGTATATATCCAAAAGAATGGAAGCAGGAACTCAAAGAGATATTTGTACACCTATGTTTATGACAGCATTATTCACAATAGCCAAAGGTAAGCCATTCAAGTGTCCATTAACAGACGAATGATAAATAAAATGTGGTATATACTGTAAGATGGGAAATCATTCAGCCTTAAGAAGGAAGGAAATTCTGACACACCCAACATGGATAAACCTTGAAGACATTATGCTAGGTGAAATAAGCCAGACACAAAAAGATAAATATTGTATTAATATGATTCTATTTATATGAAATACTACAGTGGTCAATTCATAGAGACAGAGAATAGACTGGTGGTGGCCAAGGGCTGAGGGGAGGGAAGAATGGGGAGTGAGTGTTTAATGAATACAGAATTTCAGCTGGAGAATATGATACGAAAATGTTCTGGAGATGGACGGTGATGGTTGCACAAATATGTGAATGTACTTCATGCCAAAGAACTATATACCTAAAACTGATTAAAATGGTAAATTTTATGTATGTTTTACCACAATTAAAAAAAAAGAGAGAAAAAGCAGTACAGCTCTTGCCTCAAACTCAACGAGAAGCCTAATCCGTCAGGCAGCTAGAAGAGAAGCCCCTGTGGGAGCAGGAAATAGGGTGCCAGGGTGTGTCCAACTGTGCAGCGCCCCGTTGCTGCCCGCTGAAGGATGAACCCCACAGAGATTCGGAACCACCATGGGGGAGGGCCCTGGCTCCGTCCTGAAGTGCTTACGCACGGGTTTCACTGTTCTTAAGCACAGGAAGTTAAAAAGTTACCCTGGCTCCATTTCTAGGAGGAACTTGGCAAAAAGGAAAAATGTCATCACCAAGTGGCCTTGGGCCAAATGTCAACGGTGACTTATTTTTACAGAAATCCCTAGTGGCAGGAGAGAAACACCAGGGGAAAGAGCAACATTAAGTCACTGGCACCCATATTCAATTATCATTAAGGCCTCACATTTTCCAAGGCCTTTCCCATAATAACTTAATCCTCAAAATAATTGTTGAGTAGGAATAAAAGAAATTGTATAATCTCCAGTTCATAAGTGGATGAACATACAAAATTCCGTGGGCATTAGCCACAGAGATTGACAGAAGTGAGGCTGACCTCAGGATGATAATCCCTACCATTTATTAAGGATTTATTAATTATGATATTGGCTCAACATTTTCCATGGACTATTGGATTTCATACTTCCAAGCAGTCTCCTTCTACCATTTGGTAGTTACTACTGTTATTTGTTCTTTTTATAGAAGACAATACTGAGGTTCGAAGAACAAATAACTTTCAAAAATTAAAAAGCTACTAAGTGGTAGACTGCCCAAAGCCACTGAGATGCTCCAGAGCCTGTGCACTTAGCCATTGTCATTCTCCGCTGCCCATCCCAGTCCCCACACCTGGCTCTTTGGGACAGGCCTAACGACGCTTCCTTCAGAGGAACGACGGCTCTTTGGGACCGGCCTAACGACGCTTCCTTCCTTGAGAACACGTACAATTGAGGAGTCCTCAGAGGTCACTGTGTTTTCTAACTCTAAACTGAACTAGTACTAACAAAATAAATCAGTACTTATTATCCCTGAGCATAGATGCAATCAGACACTATTTCTTAGACTACGAAGAAATTTCTGGATCTTTTAACATCCTATACAAATTTCTATACAAAAATATCCTCAAGATTATTAGCATGAATAGTCGTATTTGGGTCATCCCGTTCAATGTCTCCCGATTTTCCCAGTAGACACGTCTCCATAGGACTGCATTATCTACTGATAGACAGAGCATTGATTATTCCCTATCCTTTTCTGAGCGCTTCTTCAGAACTTTCTGAGGGTATGTCTGCTTTATTCTCCAGAAACTGGAGAGAAGAGAGATACTTTGTGGTTTGTCAACAGGGCATTCAGTCTGCGGGGCCACCCATGGGCTGCACTGGTTTGGGGACAACTGAAACACACATGAATTTGGAAGGGCAGCAGGCACAGACTCCAAATGGACAACTAGAGTGGGCAGGAAGGAGAAGACGGGGCAGAGTAGTCGCGGATTTCTAAGCCAATGGTTATGGTTATTTCTACCCTCGGAGAGGCTCCTGGACTATTTCCTCACAAAGAAGTAGCTTCTTTGAAAACACCAACATTATAATATATCAACTCTTACAACAAAACCTATATATGGTGTGGGTGTTTCATTTACTTTAAGTGTTAAAAACACAAATGCCAACTCTTCATACATGTGCCACCTTCAGCTTGGAATGCGTGGTACCCTAAGTACAGGGCCACCCCCCTAACTGTGGGGACACTGCTTTTCTCACTTCCATTCCAGACCCGAATTGAGCCCCCCCATTTTACAGAGGGGCTAGAGTGTGTGTCGCTCTTCTCACCTGAGAACCAAGCACAGAGGAGGGTCTTACCGAGTTCTCCCTTAGTTGCAGTCCTTCCCCGTTGGGAAGGGAAGACCGTCTCTTGGACGAGTTCCTGTTTGGGGTTGAGGTAATGGCCCCTGCTTTCTTCTTCACAGTGAGCACCTCACAGCTGGCTTGGTCTTCATTGTGTGTGCTCTTTCCAGCGTTGATAACCCTGGAGAAGAAGCCAGAAAAGCTGGTCAGAGTGATTTTGGGAAAGCTGAGGGCTTAGTCCCTGTCAGGGGTTGGCCAAGGCAGACTCTACAACTGGTGCGGAACTAAAGCCCTACTTAATGCAAAGGACCTTACGGTCTTGGTATCTTATGTTCCTGAATAAATGGATTTTTAAAAAATGGAACGTATTAGTGCCCATTAAGATATTTACTAAAGAAGTTGTTCTGAGCCCAGTTCACCTTCACAGGGCTGATCGATGTGACCAACTCCACAGATCCATTTCAGTCAAGACACATGAGGCGATCACTCTGTCGGGTTAATTTGGAGCCTGAACTTTTTGGCAATTACAATGAAGACAGATAGGCTGGCTCAGGGAATTCTGTTTCACCTCTCCTCGTGGTGAACAGCAAAACCACCGTCAATCTTCTCAAAGCACATGGCAGTAAGTTACAGCCCACTGTAAAATCCAAGGAACAGAGAACCATATTTCACCACTGCCATGCTCATTTTTGCTTTACACCCAGGGAAGTGAATGGATCAAAGGTTTACTCTTGTAAAAGTATTTTTAGCTCCTTATCATTTCTCCTGTAGAACAAGTCTTCACACTGCATTGTCACACCAGGCTATCGGCACCTGATTTGGACACCAAGACACATATGATATTATTGTTGACATGCTTTGATCAAATTATTAAATGTTTTAAGCACAGGAATGCTTAAAAAACATGCCACATCATTCACATACTTTGTCTGTATCAGGTGACTGCAGACTCAACTCTTGGGTTCCAGCACCATTTTCTTATTAAGTAATTAAGCAGCAGTTAAAATAGATTTCCTGAAAGAGAGCTCTCCTTGATTTGCCACTGGCTGTGTTTCCTTTCTAAAACTTCAACAGCGTCACAGTAGCTGACAGAGTGTGGAGTTTACAGAACTCACTGGCAAGGAAAGCTAAATGAAAATTCACTCTGGAAGTGAGGTATGCACACTGCTCTATTAATCTGGTTGCACAGCCTCCTAACAGTTAAGTAAAAGATTATCATGTTCAAATGGCTTTTTTTTTTTTAACTTTTTCATTCTGTAATAATTGTAGATTCAGAGTAGGTTGCAAAAATAGTACAAAGTCCCATTCAGGCTTCACCTAACTTCCTCCAAAGGTAACATTTTATATAGCATAGTACAATATCAGGAAATTGATATAGATATAATAATCTCACCCAGACTACAGACTTTATTCAAATTTCACCAGTTTTTACATCACATAGCTTTTGTACTGAGAACTGTATTGATCTCCATAAGCCAACACATGCATGCCACAACCAAATAGGAAGTGGAAAGCCAATTGAGATTTGGGTGCCGCCAGATCCAAGGGAGAATGTGTCAAGCAATCTTCTGCCAGATTCTATAGAGGTGTTTCAGACGTTTTAACATTTTCTTTATTTTTTAAATGTATGTGCACTTTCAAAAAATGCAATAATTTAAAAATTCATTACCATCTATTCATGTGAATAAATACATGCTAGTCTATATATTTCGGGCAGCTTTGGCATAAGTCTTCTTTCTATTCTCTTCAATTGACTAGTATCATGTAATTAGAAGAACTATTTAAAAAATTACCATTTGCAATTACTTATCTGCATGTTCTAAGAAAAAGATATTAGTCATCTACTTCTCTGATTTCAAATTTCTGTATTAATCAAAATTGCTTCATTATTCTTATTGCATTTGTTAGAAATTTTAACAGGCATGTTTTTAAATACAAAAGCCTACTTTTACTCATTTCACATATTACAGGTTATTTGTAAGTTTTTTTTTTTTTAAGTAGATTGCTGCTTACAAAGTTTAAAAATCATAGTTCCAGGGACTTGAGTAAGGAGGTGGGAATCCTGGCTGCTCTGTGAGGTCACATGGGTTCTGGTGCTTGTCACACACTCTGATGGCTGAGGGGTGGGGCGCAGGAGGCTTCAATACCTATTTTCTTGCCCCACCTTCACCCTCTCTCCTCTCAGAAAAGACGTTTTCATATGGCTTGAGAATAAAATGTAATTCTTGTGGACACAATGAGGTTACCTGCATGACGACGGTTAATACTACCACATTTACTGCCTGAGCTAAGTAACTTACTCAAGTTCCACAGCCAGGAAGGGCACAGCGGGGATTCAGAATGAGCCTGCCTTAACCCCCAACCCAGACTTTTCCTATTGCACCATGGGGACAGTGTGTGGCAGCCAAGCTGGACTGCGTGGGGAAGCACAGAACAGGCAGACTAGGCAAGGTCTAGTCCAGGACCAAGAGAAAGGGGAATTCTCTCCCTGCTTCTCTGGCTATTGGAGGGATCCGCGAGAGGGCCCAGAGATGGGGGAAGAATGGCTGGCTCAGATTCTAAGTGTCCCTAGAGAAGTGCACATTTAATTCAGGCCAAGTCACTAGGTTTGGAGCTGAAGCTCCTAATACAGAACATGCACCTGTCTGGAGCAGCCCTGTTAAGTCTACCCTTGGAGAACCAAACCAGGCAGAGGCAGGAGGTTCAAAATGCCATCTGCCTCTTCTTAGTCACTGGTAGTGACTTCCTGAGCAATATATTTGGGGTGGATTGTTCACTGGAAAGTGGCATTATTTCACCATGGTCTCCAAATGAGTGCCTCCGCTAGGGAATGCTGGGGTGGAGGTTCAGCTGGGAAAACCAGTTCCCAAAAACCATCCTCTCCACACTGTCCCCTGTATAGGATCCCAGCTGTATTTCTAGAACTTGGCATCAGCCTGACCATTGGCACCCAATCTTGTGCTGTAGTCAGAGTTTTTTTTTGTTTGTTTGTTTGTTTTTTTTTTAGGGGATGGAGGAAGGCTGTTCTGTTTTCTGAATTAAAAAAGCATTACTGATCTCCAATAGCTGCAAGCCAGGCTGACTCATCTGCCATTGTTGTTTCCAACAGTCAACAAAGCTACTATAATTACATAAATCACAAATCACTGTCCTTTTAAAGTGCTTTGTCTTTTGTCTCTCTTTGTGATTATTAAACTCTGAAGTTGACCTAACTTCAGCAAGAGGTCTTAGAAACTTTATTTACGCATGAGAAACACTGTGCCCTAGAAGACGGCGACTTACTTGCACAAGGTCACACAGCTAAATGCAGCAGAGCTGGGAACACACTTCTGAGTTCTGAGCTCTTTCTGCTTCAGCTCTCAGGTTGTTTTATTTTCCTATTGGGCATCTATTCTTGTCGGCGCTTGGTTCAGAGGTCTATACTGCAATGACTCAAAGCCAGAGAACTGTGAAAGAACAATTACTGGTGACCTTACTTTGCCGATTCATGTTGAATACAGCTTGTGAATACACCAATGAAATATCAAAAAGTCAGAAATGTCAATCTAGTGGGAAGACAGCAGTAAGCCTGTTTAGGAAGATATCCAATTATTATCCAGATGATAAAATATTAATTTAAATATTGATTATTTAAATATCAATTTAAAGTCACTGCCTTTTAAAAATATATAACTCTTATCCCACACGTTATATTATTTCAAATTCCATATTCTACAGAGCTTTCATAGAAAGACCTGATTCTTCTCAATTTATTTTGCCTTTAACGAGTTTGATGACTATCAACTTAAATATTTTATATTGTTCTTCAAAGGCAAATACTTTGTTTAGTAAATGTAAATAAAACCTTTAATCTTTCTAAAAGTCACTGTGAAAAACTTTGTTTCCCACGCTGAGGAGCAGCATGCTGTTTAGAGATTCAATAATTTCCTTAAATGTAAGCAGTTATATCAGTAGCTACACTCCCTTCTTGTTGGTATGCTCTAGCAAAAAGTCAGCACTTCCTTGAGATCAACGGGAAAGACTAAAAGGTGTACATTCTTTGTCTAAACGATACCTACTCATGATGCTTATTATAAAGACAAAAACAAAAAAAAAAGAAAGAAAGAAAGAAAGAAAAAGATGGTGGACCATGAATCATCATACCTTTGGTCACGTTATTTTCCAATTTCCACAAAGAGGGAAAACATTTTCCTTGACATTAAACTGGAGGTAATAAAGCATGGTAGTTAATAACAGGAGCTACCTCCCTAGAATGCAGCACATAGCAGGTGCTCAGCAAACGTTTGTCAATGAATGAATGAATCAGACAGAAATCAACTCTGCTACTTCCAAAATGTGGAGAATAGTATCTTACATTTGTTGAGAAGTATCTGGGTGCCAGAGACAGCTGTTAGCATTTGCATGTAATAATTAACTTACTTTGTCCTCTTGTCAACTCCATCAGCTAGCTACCACTGTTAGCCCCCTTTTAAAGATAAGTCACAGCTAGCGAGTGGCATTGTAGTTTGGCCAAGTTACTTAACATCTGCAAATCTCAATTCCTTAGCTGTACTTTGTGGATTGAATTCTATGACTTACTAAGATACATGTGTGTTGGGGGAAGGCAATTATAGTCATCTAAATTAAAGAATTGGGTTCTTCTGAAGTGAGGATTAAATTGAGGTAGGAAAATGTTAGAGGTCGAAGGTGAAGGACAGCTACTGTCCCTTCAATATGGAAGGTTCATACCCAGTTCTTTCAACTCTTAGAAGAATATGACACATCTGCCCTGGGAGAGACACACAGAAAGTTAAATTCATTTATGTACTACTTTAACCTACTTTAAGCTACCTCCAATTGAACCAAAACACCTAGGTTTTTCCCCTCTTGCAAAAATAGGTAAACACGGAACTTTAAGGACTTGAAAGTCAAAAATCCTATATGTGTATCAGATTCAGCTTGAAGTTATGACCTAAATACCAGGCATGAACGGGACAGTGAGATCACAGGAATAGCAGAATCTACTTGAAAAGAGCAAGCAGTTCATTCTGTGTTATCATCATACACTTGGGAAACACTTTTCTTCAGTTTGTGAAATACTTGAATCACAATTTTTTTTTTTTTGCAATCAACTTCATCTGCATTTCAGCAGAAAAGTCCTGCTTTTAAATGCAACTGTTAAAATTTTCAAGCTATCTGCCT